AGGTCCCACTCCCTCTACAGAGCCAGCCCAGTTCTGAAAAGACTGTTTTTCAGATGGATCAAGACCCAGAACTTGTCCAAGGTTGCCTCCAGGAACTAATGGACTTTGTGATGAAATGTGTAGAGGAGATGAAGCTTGTCCCAGGGGACAGAAATGCTGCAGCCATGGTGGTGGTGGCCACACCTGCCAAATCGCTATTCAAGACATCAGTATAAGATAGAGAGCTGTTTACCGGAAGCATGGGTCTCTGCTGATCTTTACAGCACAGAAGGGAACCCATCCGCCCCTCTGCTCACTGAAGTCTGGGTGGCATGTGGAGAAAGCTGGTTGGTAGCAAAGAGCAGGAATTTCTGGAAAGTGTCGTGAATATCTTGGTGTTGTAGGAGGAAGATTTCCTTATCCGTTTGGATGATTAATCAACCTTAGCCTCCTTCAGTGACCATTCCCAAATGTCACCTTTATGCCGGTACCTGGTGTTGGGCTTTCTACTATCTTTTCCTGGCTACTTTCTATTCCTGGAACCCCAGTACCATATGATTAGGATCTGTAATAACTTTGGCATCAGTGTTCAGTTCTGGCAATTACTACAGAAATCATGGGGTGAATGCTTCCAAAATAATCCTTCTTCTGAATAAAATTATTTCTGTGGCATTAGCCAACCTGAATCATCATTTCTGTGTAAGACTTCAGCTAATTTACATTAGTACCTCCACCCCCAACAAGTATTTAACCCCAACCAGTGGAACCTGTCTCTGTTTCTTTATCCCTCAGCCCTCATATCATCTCTGTCACCCTTATCCTTACTCCTTGTAGGAGATATTTATAGTGACAATAACAATGTATAACAAGCTACATTCAAAACTCATTGGCTTAAAATAGCAATCATTCTCCCAGACCTGTGAATTGGCTAGGGGGTCAATGATTCTAGGCTGGGCTTAACTGGGTAACTCTGCTTATCTTGGCTGGACTCACTCATGCGTCTGAGGTTGGCTGATTCAACTGGGTTGGCTGGGGTGACTTGGCTCCACCCCACCCATTTCATCCTTCTCCTAAGCCAAAGACCAGCCCAGGCCCTCAATACTGCCTGGAAATCTCATGACATTTCCCTAGAAAACTCGCTTCCTACCCTCCAAGATGACTCTTTCATACACCTTCTCTTTCCTCAAATCTCCGTTTCATCTACCTCTCACTCCAACCACCACCATGCAGGTCTTACTGGCTACCTCATCACATCCTTCATTGAGAAAAATACTTGCAAGTCTACCAAAGTTTGCTGCTTTTCTATCCCTATCTATTTGTACCCATTGACTCTGCTTTATGCTCTATAATAATGGAAAGAACAATTCCTCCTATTTAAGTCCAACCCTTCCACTTACATTTTGGATGCTTCTTATCTAGTCAAAGCCTTCACTTCTTTAATTATTGTCTCCAGTATCATAGATGTCTCCCTTGCTCCTGGTTCAGTCCACAATTGTCATACAACTAGGCCTTGACTCCATGCTTCAATCTAGCTACCATCCACTCCACAGCCGAAATCCCAGACACCACTGTTCATCTGTAAATGCTTCTCTGCTTCCCACCTCTGCCTACCCACATTCTCTCCTTAGGGAGCACGCATCCCTGCTCCCTCTGGTTGGCTCCAACCCCCACCTTCCCTCACTCCAGCCGAGATTTTTCTGGTCTACCACACACTGAAACTTGGCTTACATAGCATGAAAGTCACTTCATACCAGATCCCTCTGAGCAGGGCACAAGGAACGGAACCCTAGCACACCCCAACACAAATGATCTCAGGAGCTAGTAGAGTGGCTGGGGTCCCCGTTGGCCTCTGATCTGGAGGATGATACCCAAGGTAGTGACAACTAAATTGTGGTTCTAGTCACAGTACCAGCACTCCAGAGAGGTTGTAAAGAATAGCCTTTTACCTTGGGAGTTTAAAACATGAGGATAAGCAACACACCGGAAGAAGAAAGAAAATGTTTTAGCTGATATATCATTAGGTGTTAGACACTTTCCCTACATTACTTCCTCATGCTTACAACAGTCCAGGAGTTGAGCAATCTGAGCCTCTGATTCTTGATGAAGAAACCTGGAGAGATTAATTGTCAAGGTCACATTGCCAGGATGCAGTAGAACATGCATTTAAATACAGATTTTCAGGGCTCCAAAAACCCCCTCTTTTCCCTATACACTACTACCTCAAACAATAAAAATGCAGGATGTATATTTATCTGGGAATTTAACTCCAGTCAACCACTTTGAAAGCGGTTGTACTGACCACTCTCCCACAGTGGGAACCATGTGCAGTGTTGGGGGCTTAGGACCTGACACTGAAGGGTTTCCTAACACTTGGTTAGGGACTTGTTACAGGATTCTGGGTAATGTTTGGGGGACCAAGAGCTTGAACGACCTGGATCAATGATACAGTCTGTGTGCCAAGCTGATTGAACAGTCCCTAAAATAGAGGTTACCAGTCTTGGCTCCTCCTGAAACTTTGAGACATAAAGAGGGACCTCGAAGGCGGGGCTTGTGAGAATACCACCATCTTCCCTGACAATGATGCTAACTGGGGAGGCAGCTGCTTTCTGACTGGTGTATTTGGATCCAGGCAATGAAAATCACTGGCAGACCATGAATCTGTATTTCTTTCTTGTTTTTTCTTTTTCTTCTTTTTTTTTTTTATGCAGAGGAAGATTGTTCCTGAGCTAACATCTGTACCAATCTTCCTCTATTTTGTATGTGGGATGCTGCCACAGCATGGCTTCATGAGCAGTGTACAGGTCTGTGCCCCAGATCTGAACATGCAAACCCTAGGCAGTCAAAGCAGAGCGCACAGACTTAACCAATACACCACTGGGCAGCCCCTGTAGTTATTTCAAGCTGGTCCAACTCCAAGACATTGGTCTACCCTTTTCTTTTCTCCTCTTCATTGAGCTTCACTTTCTCCATCTCATGCTGAAATCCCAGGGCTCTCAAACATTACCTCTCCTGTGCCAATCAAATGCACAGTGCTATAACCCCAAAGTCCTGAGCCTCACCAGCCCGTAAGGAAGGAATAAAATTACATCTGAGTTACAGCCTGGGTTGGCATGCCTTAAATCAATGAGAACGTAGTATTCCATAACCACCACCATTATTCAGGAAAAATTAATAGTGACTTCAAGAAATTAGGATTCCCAAAAAGTACCCACTTTCTTAAGGAGTACAGTGTGTGTGCGTATGTCTGTGGGGGGGGGGGGGGGGGGGGGGCGGGGTAGGGGGTTGATGGATGGGAACAAGAGATCAAACGGATTTGTCAAAAGTGATGGGACTAATTAGAGATCATATTATATGAATTAGCTGCTGCAACAAATAAACCCCTCAAATCTTACTGACTTAACTCAAATTGAGGTTTATTCTTGCACGGTGTGAAATCCAAAACGGGTCTTCTTGAACACCAGACAGCTTTCCTCCAAGTGGAAATTTGGGGACCAGTCTCTTTCTATCTTGCAGTGTTCACCCACGTCGACACTTGGCTTCCAGGACCATTTGCCTATGTATACACTTGAGCCTAGCAATAGGAAGAGAATGGAGGAGTGTGCAGGGGTGGGGGAGGGGAGTTAGGGGCCTCACCCTAGCAGTGCTGCACAGCACTTCTGCTCACATTCCATTGCCTAGAAGTCAGTCTCACGGCCGTAGGTACCTGCAAGGGAAGCTGGGACCTGTAATCTGCTGTGTTCTCAGGAAGAAGAAATGAGTTTAGTCCTTCAGCCTACCGCTCATATGGACACTGGCCTTCCTGATTGTGGCCAAGGTTGAATAGACCTGTCCTTAGTGGCCCAACATTCCACAGAGCCACCCTTGTAAAATGAATGTTCTTTCAAACAGCTTTGCAAAAGGAACAATAAAATTTATAATCAAAAGGTGAATCAATGTTTCTGAGAACATGTAATAAAGGAAGGCTGGAGGATTATGGACAGGGCAGAAGGAGGAAAGAAAACTGTGATACTCAGATGTGGGGTTTTCCCCGCATTGGAACATGGCAGGAGGCTTGTTTACCCAAGAGAATCTCTCCTTGTTAGCATTTCAGGTAGTGTGACCGAACGAGGAGTTCTGGATAGTTCTGTAGAGATTGGAGGGTGGGGGAGAAGATGACCATCCCTGTTCCTGGACCAACACTGATCCTGTAATATTATGTTTGGATCTGTAATCTGGAGAATGAGAGTGTGGAAGGAAAAGGCATAAACAGTGTCACATGGAGGAGACAGCATAGATTTAGAGTCAGAAAGACTTGGGAAATTAAGAAGCTGTGTAACCTGGGGAGTTATTATCTCCTCCTGTGTCAAGTGGAGATGACTCTAGAGGACTTTTGGTCTTTAAAAGGGGTCAAGGCAATAAATAGATATAATTAAGTATATTATTTAAAAGTATATACATAAATGATTTGTGTATGCCTATGTTGTAAAATCTGGCACACAGAAGCATTCAATAAATACCAGGGCCCTGTCTCCTCACCCCATTTCTCCTGTCATTCGCAGTGCCCCCCGGTCTTCAGTAGTCTTGAGTATTAGGTGAAGAAGCTATTTCTCTTGGCTCAGAGACTTGTTTGAAAATACATCATACTCAGTGGTAAACACAGGCCCATGGCATCCAGAAGGTCAACTGCCTGTCAGGGCTGAGCTGCCAAATCCCCGTGTCTTGACCCAGGTTCCACATACTGCCCAGCTCAGTGGGAGGAAGATAGAATCGCAGCCCATCTCTTGCATCTGTGTTGTCACCAAAGGAGACTCCACTCAGCAACATGACATGAGGGCTTCCTCCTCCTTTCAGCCCTTCCCACTCAGCACAGAGCTCAGGGGCCGCCCTCAAAACTCACAAGGTGATTGATGAGTCCAGGCAGCAAAGGCGTGTTAATGTCAGGAGAAGGAACTAGATAGAAGGAAGTGAGGGCCCAGTGTGTACAAAGATGGGAAGAAGGGGAAGGAAGTGGGGAGGGCAGGGGACACAAGACATTCCACATGAGGAAGTGTAGGGGGACATCTCCAGTGCCACCTCCGCATCTGCTCCCAGGCTCTCCTCTTCTTTTCCAAAGCTCGCCGCTCCAGCTGCACTCCCCACCCTGCCCACAGCCTCCTCTGCTCCTGCACTCACTGTATTCACCATGGTGCCTTCTAGACGCATGGAAATGCTCAATAATACCAATAACGTAAGTTCATTTCCTTTAAAGGAGAAGTGTCCTTTCTTGTGTCCATGTGAAGGGAAAGCTCTCACATCAGTGAAGTTTTAATGTAACAACTCTTCTTAGACATGAAGAAGCTTGAGTCCTATTCATAGAGAGGACATAACTTATCCAAGGTCACACAGTGGTGACTCTGAGGCTAAAACCTGCTACATTAGTTGTAAGTAAGATTTCCTTTTTTAAATAATGCTATCATCAATCCTGAAAGCGGCAGCATTTATTGGGTGCTTGCTCTCTCCAAGGCATTGTGCTGAGTTCTGAATATAATTATCTCATTGAATTCTCACCCCAACACTGGGGGGCAGGTACTATTCTTATCTTTATCTTACAGGGGAGGACACAGAGCCTCACAAAGTTCAGTGACTTGTCCAGGGTTTCACAGCTACTATCTTGGAGTCGGCATCTGACCCAGGGGTCGGGCTCCTGAGCTCAGACTCTTCCTGCTACATCTCTAGGTCTGGTTCAGCACAGAGATGCCTAGGCAGGAGGACACAGGCTTAACGTCTTCATGGTGTCCAGACCTTACCCTCCGGTCCCTGCCAGTCACCTCAACCTTAGACTCATGCTCTAGTCTCAGAGCACAGGGAGCAGCAGAGCTGGTATTTGGGGCAGCTGAATATTCACTAGTCATTGCGAGAATGAGCCCCCTACCTTGCAAAGGCTCTCAGTGGGAGTGGGAATGTTATAAACCAATGTGACCTTAATAAAAATAATAATAAAATATACAGAAATTAATTGCAATATAGTGTGCTAAGGGCTATGACCAAATAAGTACAAAAAGGAAGTTAACTCTCTCGGGCGTGGGAGTTGGAACTTTCAGAGGTGACATTGGCGCGGAGCCTTGTTACATAGGGCAGAGAAAGAAAGGGAAAAGGGATTCCAAGTTCAAGGAGCAGCCTGGACTGCGATTGAGAAGCATGAAGTCCTTGACGAGGGGCAGCAATCAGAGCAGCCCGGAGTGCCTGGGTGGCTGGGGACCCGGGGTGAGGAGCAAGGGAGGAGCAGGGAGCAGCTGGGCCCCATTGCCAGGCTCTGAGGGCCCCGCTCAGCCCTGAGTAACCCAAAGGACAAACTGAGCACGTGCTAAGGATTCCAGCAGAACAGGGACCCAAAATAAGGTGAGAAAAGAGAACATCGACAAAGAACAAACTGAATTTCAACATGCCTGTGAGTTGGTGCCCTTTTAAAAAATCTGTATAGCATTTTTGAAAATTTGGAATTATATGTGGAGGGTATCACTGCAGTTCTCATTTCAGTGTTTAGGATGTCTAAAAGTTTCTTTCTGGCCTGGACCTTGTTATAGAAATTAGACACCAACCAATCGAAACTTTGAGAAGGTAAGACTGAGCTAAGGAAGTTTGCAAAATTCCCTTGTGAATAACCTATAACTGTACCTTTATCCCACCTGGAGGTGTTACCAATGTATGAGGTCAGTTGTTTGCACAAAGGACCTCTAAATGGCGACATTACAGGGACTGACAAATGAAGTATAGCAGGGAGAGTCTCTTACTGTAACCCCAGAATCAGAAACCAGAGCTCCTGGCGAAACATCAAGTGACCCACTTTCTAAAGAGAAGTCAACCATCTCCCCAGCGCCTTATGAAGAGGCTGCACACTGGTCCTGCCATTCCCAACCAGCCCAGCCATCCTTATCTCACATGAAGTAAGACATCTTATGGGGCAGTGTACATGGCCAAAAGTTATACATTCCTCCTCCTATCCCCACTGTCATTGGGGAGGGAAAAAGGCATATGCCTCCAAAAAACCAAGGGGAGTGTGTGATTCAGAAAATCGCTATCTGGATAAGGAGTATCTACAAGAAGGGGGACTGAAATCTCACCCTCCAGCTGGTTGGCTACTGCAGCCCCGCCCCACTCCCACCCCAGTGCTGCATGAAGACAGACATCCTGGAAGAGTTAACATGTATATCAGGAGTTTGGGTTCTCAGATATGAAGGTGGACAAGACAAAATGCCACACTATCCCCAGAAACCTACATGTGTCCTACAGGCAAAGACCACTGCACCTGCCTAGGTGCCCAGAGGTAGAGAGAATCAGACCAGCCAGAAGGAGACCAAGTCACCCCCTTACCACCAGCAAGTGACCTGGGAGCACCCCTGCTAGTTCTCCTACCACCCCTCTCTGCCCTCAGTGCTGGAGGTGCTGGGGCCCAGAGCAGGGAGGGGAGAAGTGGAAGAGTGGACTGTGCCCTCGCCAGCCAGCACCCAGTCCCTAAATTGCAATTTCGATAAGGATGTATTCCTCATACCCACCATGTGCCTGGCCCAGAGAAGACTTTGTTACTTGTTCTGAAATATGAATGAGTGAATTAAAATACATAATAAGAGTTAGTGCCCACCCCCACCTCCTTTCTCAGTCAATCAAGGCTTTCCTGGCTTAGGAGTCTTAATTTTTGGTCAGAGGAGGATGTTCCCTTGGCTCGGAGACTTGTTTAGGTAACAACGTGGCATTTACTCAGGGTACACATGCTGTGTATCTCCAGAAACGTCAGTTTCCAGGCAGAGCTGAGGCTCCCACTGTCCCTAGTTCCTCCCACCCCTGACATTGCATTACAGCTCAGTGGACAGAAGCATATAAATTTCCACTGTTCTCAGCCCTGCTGCATTTTTACCAGAGACTTCCAACAGCAACATGAAGTTGGGAGGCCTCCTCCTCCTTGTGAGCCTCATCACCCTCAGCTTAGAGGTACAGGAGCTTCAGGCTGCACTGAGACCCTTCCAACGTTTGGGTGAGTCCAGACAAGAGGCAGCCCCCTTCTTCTTTGAATGAGGGAGCCAGAAAGTGGGATTATCAGGGAGCAGTGCGTGCAGGGGCAGAAAGAAGGGAAGGAAAGATATTCTAGCCAAGGAGCCACTGCAGGGACCCACCTTGACTGCAGAATCTCTCTTCTTCTGCCTCCGCTTTCTCCCCTCCTTTCCCTGGGTCACCCCTCCATCTGGACTCTCCACTATTCCCCTTTTGCCACCTCATCAGCCACCCTCCATCTCCCCTGTGTCTTGCTCTCCACCAGTTTGTTTGTCTCCTGAATGAAATATATTGGATCACGTAGAAAAAATATTTTCCTAATAGTGTTAAACACGAATCATCTCAATCTCTTTTTTTTCTTTTACCACCAACATTCTCAAAGGACTAAACTGAATTGTCATCCTTACTTCCCCATACTCATTCCTTATCCCCTTGAAGACTGACTATAGTCATTGCTGCCCCCTGCACTCTCCTGAAACTTCTCTCCCAGGTCTTATTGACAAATCTCTTGGCTCTCCTCAGCAGCCAAAGTCTTTACTCTCTGAGGTATCTGATATTGTTTCCAACTTCATCAATCTCCCAACATTCTTCTCTCCTGGATTCTTTTCACTGTATTTTTTTCTTCTCCCCAAAGAGTATTACATTAAACTCTTACTCCTCTCCCTTCTTTGCTCTCCTTCCCCTACATTAAACTAGTTGCCAAATTCCATCCATTCTTAGAAATTGTCTCTTGTGTGTGTTCCTTCCTCTCCACCCACATGGCCACACTGTATTTCAAGCCCAGACTTCCCCATCTTGGACAGCACAATGGCTTCCCAGATGCTCTCCCTGCCCCTCCCTTCCTTCTGAAGTTTGCCTGCTTGTTGAATCCTGGTCCATTCTCTGTTCTCCTACCAGAATAATCTTCATAAGCAAACTGCAATCATATCCCTCATTTGGCCTCCCAAATGAAATCCACACTCCCCAGGTCCTCAAGATCTGCCCACTGAAACTTTGTCTCCTGCCTACTTTTCCTGCTCAACTTTCAACTCTTCTCTAATACTCATCCAGCCTTCCATTGGTCATTCTTCCTGGATTCCCTGTATTTCAGGTTGAGTGGTGTGGAGATGAGACACCTCAGGTGCAAAATTGAAAAAAGTGTTCACTCCTAAGGTTATGCAAGCCATTTCTTAAGTTTTGTACCCTATGAGCCTCGTGCATCTCTCCCTGGTCCCACCCTGTTGCATTTTCCCCTAGGGAACTTCTGCTAGTAATTCTTTTCTGTCCTCACCACACTCTACCACCTCCCCTTGCCTTAAAAAAGTCCGTGTACTTCAAGAGTCACCTTTCTCATTAATCCAATTGAAGTGATATCTTCTCTCCTCTGAGCCCCTTTAGTCCCTCAGATGAACCTCTCTCAGGAAACTTCTCACAAACTGCTATTTCTAGTACCTTACACATAAGTCTTACCTTCATTGTTAGATTCTAAGCTGCTCGAAGGTGATGACTCTATCTTACATCTTTGTGCTTTCTGAATAACTTTCATCTGCGCTTTAAATGTGGTGAGAAATCAATAAATATAGTGAGTACCAAACTGCTATGAGTGAGGACAAGAAGCTTTCAACCCTCCCACCATAAACTAACAACAGCTAACAGAAACATGGAGGGATCATACTGATTTTGTCCAAGGTCAGCAAGTACATTGCAGACATCCCACCAGGCCCCCTTCTTACACTCTCAGACATTGCTAATCAATCCTAGCACTCTTTCTCTTGGAGCCTGGACAAGGCTTCCCAGCCTTCTCAACACAGCATCACACAGCCATCTCTGTGAATTGGAGTTGACACTGGAGAATAAACGTCATTTCCCCTCCTGGATAAAAGGGCTCCATTTTACGTATGAGGAAACAAAGGCCCAGAGACCTCCAGGGTCAGAATCAGGTAGAGAACCTCCTGATAGTAGCTGAGTAGCCAACTGAAGCACAGCACACCTTCATCCAGAGCTCTATGTACGTTTCCCCAGAAGTCCCTGTAGGGTCTTAACCAGCTTCTTGGACCTACTTCACTGATGCTCAAAGACTAATTTTGAGGCTCTGGGAACCTGGGAAGCCTCCACTCAGGTCAGGAGTGACTCCTTGAAATTTGGAGATGTGCTCTTCATGTCAGTGTCTGCTTCACCGTATGGGACTGCGGAGGGAGCCTGGGCCTGGGAGCCAGGCAGGTTCTGCAAAACAAGACAAGCTGAGGCAGAGGGCTCTTGACATAACGATATCTCTTTAGACTGAATACTAATGCTGACAGCACTAATGCTACTAAACCAGATGGTATGAAATACCTTACTTGCACCGATCAATGTCATGATGTTACAAGTTGGTAGGAAATAGAGACTCAGAGTAAAAACAGAGGAAGAAATTCTAAAAGCAAGTACAATACAGAAATTCATCTAATATCTCTACTGGATCAGGGTATGGAACAATATTGTTGCAACTCTGCCAAAATGATGCAGAATCGATTACAATGTTTGCTTCCTCACTGCCAAATTGTGTTCTACCAAAAGCGTATCAGAGGAAAGACATAAAAACAATGATGATTGAAGGTAAATTACTGGTGAATAGGCCTGTGTTTCAGGTAACTATGCATGCCTATCAACAAGGACTCATTGTGATGCTAGGAATCGCAAATTTTTAATGGCCCATTTCTGCAACTAGTATAAAATTATATGCCATATGATAAAGCAAAGAACAGAAATAAATATAAAAAGTTACACAATGGAAAGATCAGAAAACAGACCAAATTTGTATCTTCAATTTAACCAATTATGTAACAGGCCAAATATACATTCCAAATGGTATTGACATTTATCTAAACATGAATTTAAAATATTTTCAGAATATTATCAAAATATGCGTACACATAAATGACAGATAGATAGATGATAGATAGATAGATAGATAGATAGATAGATAGATAGATAGATAGACAGATAGACTATCTCTAGAAGGAAAACCAAGAACTTATAATGGGCGTTCTCTCTGGACAGGGAACAGGGTTTGGAAGTTAAGTATGGGGAGGAAAACTACATAATTGGGGTTCTCATTCAGGCAGGGAGCAGGGGCAGGCTATGGAACTCTGTTAATTGGCACCTGAAGGCACATAGAATTGGCGGGAGGCTGCCTCTCTTTGTGATCTGGGATTTAATTATCTAGGCCCAGAAGAAATGAAAAGAAAGGAGTTAACAGCAATGTATGTGATCTCCTCTTCTCCCAGGATGCAGCCGCTGCTGGCCATCCATACATTTTCCCGCAGACAAAACAATACATTGTGCCTTGACGATTGAGAGGGAGAAGATTGGGGGTGTCAAGAAAGGAAGAGGCTAAAGGTCCACCAGGGACCAAGGCACTTCAGCCCTCTCTCTCTCAACACCGGGTCCCACTCGCTCTACAGAGCCAGTCTGAGTTCTAAAAAGACTGATTGCTTTTTCAGTTGGATCAAGACCCAGAAGCTGTCCACAGCTGCCTGAAGGAAGTGCTGGAGTTTGTGCTGAACTGTGTAGCGGAGATGGGTCTTGTCCCAGGGGACAAAAATGCTGCAGTAATGGTTGTGGCCACTCCTGCCAAATCGCTGTTTAAAACGTGAGTATGAGATAGACAGCTGCTTACGGGAAGCATGGGTCCCTGCCAGCCTTTGCAGCACAGAAGCTTGTTGGTAGCAGGAATTTCTGGAAAGTGTCATGATTACCTTTGTGTTGTAGGAGGAAGACTTCCTTACCGTCTGGATGATCAAGGAACCTTAGCCTCCTTCAGTGACCACTCCCAAATGTCATCTTTATTCTAATACCTTGGAGGAGAGTGGGCTTTCCTACTACATTTCCTGGCTGCTCTCTATTCCTAGAACTCCAGTACCACATGATGAGGATCTAAAATAACTTGAGCATTCAGTTCTGGCAATTGTTTGAGAATCACGGGGTTACTGCTTCCAAAATTATCCTTCTTCTGAATAAAATTATTTCTGTGGCATTAGCCAACCTGAGTCATTATTTCTATGTAAGATTTCAGCTCACTTACATTAGTATCTCCACCTCCAACAAGCATTTAACCTCAGCCCATGGAACCTGAATGTTTCCATTATCCATCACCCCTCATATCCTCTCTGTTTCCCTTATCCTTACTCCCTGTACCAGATATTTATAGTGACAATAACAATGGATAACAAGCTACCCCAAAAGTCTTTGACCTAAAATAACAATCAGTCTCCCAGATCTGTGATTTGGCTAGGGGGTCAATGGATCTAGGCTGGGCTTAACTGGGCAACTCTGCTGATCTGAGCTGGACTCACTCATGCGTCTGAGGTTGGCTGATTCAACTGGGGTTGGCAGGGGTAACATGGCTCCACCCCACCCATTTCATCCTTCTCCATTCAAAGACCAGCCCAGGCACTCAATACTGCTTGGAAATCTCACCAAATCTAACATTTCCCTAAAAAATTCACTTCCTACCTTCCAAGATGATTCTTTCATTCTTCTTCTCTTTCCTCAAGTCTCCATCTCATCTGCCTCTCGCTCCAACCTCCATCATGCGGGTTGCGCTGGCTATCCCCTCACATCCTTCACTGAGAAAATAGTTGCAAGTATGAAAAAATTCCCTCCTATTCTATCCCCATCTATTTGTACCCCTTGACTCTACTTTATCTGCTGTAATAACAGAAAAAACGATCCCTCCTCCTATTTAAGTCCACCCCTCCACTTACATTTTGGATGTTTCTTATCTAATCAAAGACTTCACTTCCCTAATTAGTACCTCCAGTATCATAGATGTCTCCCTTGCTCCTGGTTCAGTCCACAATTGTTATACAACTATGCCTTGACTCCATGCTTCAATCCAGCTACCATCCACTCCACAGCTGAAATCCCAGATGCATACTTGTTTCTCCACTTCCTCACCCCTAAACCCATTCTCTCCTCAGGGAGCACGCCTCCCTCTTCCCTGTGATTGGCTCCAACTGCCACCTCCCCTCACTCCAGCACTCCAGTCAAGCTTCCTCTGGTCTACCACACACTGGAACTTGGCTAATACCACTCACATAGACTGAAACTCGCCTCATACAGGAACCTTCTGAGCAAGGCACAAGGAAGGAAACACTGGGACACCCCAACACTAATGATCTCAAGAGCTAGTAAAGTGGGTGAGGGCCCAGTTGGGTCTCTGGTCTGGAGAACAATGCCCAAGGTAATGACAACTAAATTGTGGTTCTATTCATAGTACCAGTGCTCCATAGAGGTTGTAAACAATAGCTTTTGGCTTTTGGGTGTTTAAAAGCTAACTGAGGGTAAGGAACACATCGGAAGGAGAAGGAAAATATTTATCTGATATATCACTAGGTGTTAGACACTTTCCTTGCATTATTTCCTCATGCTTACAACAGCCCAGGAGTTGAGCATTCTCAGCCTCTAATTCTTGGTGAAGAAACCTGGAGAGATTAATTGTCAAGATCACATTGCCAGCATGTAGTAGAACCCGCATTTAAATCCAGATTTTCAGGGCTCCAAAACTCGTTCTTTTTCCTATCCTATACTACCTCCGTCTCATGCTGAAATCCCAGGGCTCTCAAATATTTCTTCTCCTGTGCCAATCAAATGCACAGTGCTGTAACCCCAAAGTCCTGAGCCTCACCAGCCTGTAAAGAAGGAATAAAATTACATCTGAGTTACAGCCTGGGCTGGCATGCCTTAAATCAATAAGAATGTAGTATTCCAGGGTCCCCCAGTGGCATGGTGGTTGGGTTTGTACACTTGGCTTTGGTGTCCCAGAGTTTGTGGGTTCAGATCCCAGGTGTGGACATACACACCGCTCATCAAGCCTTGCTGTGGTGGTACCCCACATACAAAATAGAGGAAGATTGGTATGGGTGTTAGCTCAGGGCCAATCTTCCTCAACCAAAAAAGAAAAGAAAAAAATATATACTATTCTATAACAGCTGCACTACCACCATTATTCAGGAAAAATTAATACTGACTTCAAGAAATTAGAATTCCCAAAGAGTATCCACTCTCTTTAGGAATGCAGTCATGGGGAGGGGTAGGTGAATGGGAGAGAGGGATCAAACTGATTTGTCAAAAGTGATTTAACTAACTAGAGTTCACATTATATGAATTAGCTGCTACAAAAAATAAACCCCCTAAATCTCACTGGCTTAACTCAATTGAGTTTTATTCCTCCCTGGTACAAAATCCAAAATGGGTCTTCTTGAACAGCAGGCAGCTTTCCTCCAAGTGGAAATTTGGGGATCAGCCTCCTTCTATCTTGTGGTATTCACCACCAACAACACTTGGCTTCCAGGACCATCTGCCTATGTATGTGCTTCAGCCTAGCAACAGGAAGGAGAGAATGGAGGAATGTGCAGGGGTGGGGGAGGGGAGTTAGGATCTTCGCCCCAGAAATGGTACACAGCGCTTCTGCTCACATTCCATTGCCTAGAACTCAGTCTCACAGCCATAGGTACCTGCAAGGAAAGCTGGGACCTGTAATCTGCTGTGCTCTCAGGAAGAAGAAACGAGTTTGGTCAGTCAGTCTGCCGCTCATATAGAGGCTGGCCTTCCCGATTGTGGCCAAGGTTGAACAGACCTGTCCTTATTGACCAACATTCCACAGAGTCACCCTTTGTAAAATGAATGTTCTTCCAAACAGCTTTGCAAAAGAAACAACAAAACTTGTAATTAAAAGGTGAATCAACATTTCTGAGACCATAATAAGGGAAGGCTTAGGGATTCTGCACAAGGCAGAAGGAGGAAAAATGTTATGATACTCAGGTATGGGGTTTTCCCCGCATCAGAATATGGCTGGACACTTATTTACCCAAAGGAATCTCTCTTTGTTTGCATTTCAGATAGTGTGACCGAAAGAGGAATTCTAGAAAGTTCTGCGGAGATTGGGGGGAGAAAAAGAGAGGATACTAGTACCTGTTCCTAGACAGGCCTGAATCCTGTAATATTAACGTTTGGATCTGAAATCTTGTGAATGAGAGTGTGGAAGGGAAGGGCATAAACTGTCACGCGGAGGAGAGAGCATGGATTCGGAGTCAGGAAGACTTGGGTAATGAAGAAGCTGTGTAACCCAGGGAGTTACTGTCTCCTCCGGTGTGAAGTGGAGATGACCCCTGAGAGGACTTTATCTTTAAAAAGGGTGGAGATAATATATTTATATAATTAAATATATTATTTAAAACTATATATGTAAAAGATTTGTGTATCTGTATGTTGTAAAATCTGGCACACAGAAGTGCTCAATAAATACCAGGCCCCCGTCTCCTCACCCCCTTTGCACCTGTCATTCACAGTGGCCTCCAGTCTTCAGTTCAGAGACTTATTTGAAACTACATCATTACTCAATGGTAAACACAGGCCCATGTCATCCAGAAAGGTCAGCTGCCTGTCAGGGTTTAAGCTGCCAAATCCCCGTGTCTTGACCCAGGTTCCACATGCTGCCCAGCTCAGTGGGAGGAAGATAGAATCGCAGCCCATCTCTTTCATCTGTGTTGTCACCAATGGAGACTCCACTCAGCAACGTGTCATGGGGGCTTCCTCCTCCTTGCAGCCCTTCCCACTCAGCAGAGCTCAGGGGCTGCCCTCAAAACTGGCAAAGTGATTGGCGAGTCCAGCCAGCAAAAGTGGGTTAACATCAGAAGGAAAAGCCAGATAGAAGGAAGTGAGGGCCAGTGTGTACACAGATGGGAAGAAGGGGAAGGGAGTGGGGAGGGCAGGGGGCAAAAACATTCCACTTGAAGAAGGGCAGGGGGACGTCTCCAGTGCCACCTCTGCATCTGCTCCCAGGCTCTCCTCTTCTTTTCCAAAGCTCGCCCCTTAGCTGCACTCCCCACCCTGCCCTGGGCTTCCTCTGCTCCTGCACTCGCTGTATTCACCATGATGCCTTCTGCACATGTAAGAAGAGCTCAATAATACCGAGTTCATTTCCTTTCAAGGAGAAGAATCCTCTCTCATGTCCATGTGAAGGGAAAGCTCTCACATCAGTGCAGTTTTAATCTAACAACTCTTCTTAGACATGAGGAAGCTTGAGTCCTATTCGTAGAGAGGACTTGACTTATCCAAGGTCACACAGCAGTGACTTTGAGGCTGAAATCTGGTGCATTTAGTTATAAGTAAGATTTTCTTTTTAAAAAATACTATCATTAATCCTGAAAACAGTAATATTTATTGGGTGCTTGCTCCCTTCCAGGCATTGTGCTGAGTTCTGAATATAATTATCTCATTGAATTCTCACCCCAACACTGGGGGGCAGGTACTATTCTTATCTTTATCTTACAGGGGAGGACACAGAGCCTCACAAGGTTCAGTGACTTGTCCAGGGTCCCACAGCTACTATCTTGGAGTCGGGATCTGACCCAGGGGTCGGGCTCCTGAGCTCAGACTCTTCCTGCTACATCTCTAGGTCTGGTTCAGCACAGAGAGGTCTAGGTGGGAGGACACACGCTTAACATGTTCCTGGTGTCCAGATCTTACCCTGCGGTCCCTACCAGTCACCTCAACCTTGGACTCACGCTCTAGACTCAGAGCACAGGGAGCTGCAGAGCTGGTATTTGGAGCAGCTGATTATTCACTCGTCATTGCTGAGAACGAGCCCCTCACCTTGCAAAGGCTCTCAGTGGGAGCAGGAATGTTATAAACCAATGTGACCTCAATAAAGAAATAAATAAATAAAAGAATTAATTACAATATATTGTGTTCAGTGCTATGACAAGAACAAAACACAGTTAAAGCTCCCAGGGATAGGGGTTGAGGAAAGTTTCAGAGGTGACATTGGCGCTGAGCCTTGTTACATAGGGCAGAGAAAGAAAGGGAAAAGGGATTCCAAGTTTAAGCAACAGCCTGAACTGCAGCTGAGAAGCATGAAGTCCTTGACGAGGGGCAGCAATAGAGCAGCCTGGAGTGCCTGGGTGGTTGGGGACCCGAGGTGAGGAGCAAGGGAGGAGCTGGAAGCGGCTGGGCCCCATTGCCAGGGCTCTGAAG